TGGCGGATCCAGAACTTTTCATAAGGGGGGCCCGCTGACTGACCTAAAGGGGGGGGGGGGGCCCGCTCCAGTCATGCTTCAGTGATTTCCCTATATAATCAACCAAATTTTTCCCACGAAAGGGGGAGGGGGGGCGGGGTCCCCAGCCCCCCCTGGATCCGCCTATGATAAAGACTTCTCTGATTACTCTTTCTGGATGGAGGAAGAGATCAGAAAAACCTCTAAATTCAACTCGAAAGAATTTTGGAAAATTCAAAATAAATTAAGCGGCAAAAATAAAAAGAGTAAGTCGGAAGTCAGTTTGAGTGATCTGTTTGATGATTTAAAAAAAGCTTATCCAGGATGATGACGCAAACGATAATGGTTCCGATTTGAACTTTGAATTTGATGCTGAAGAAAGTCAGCACATACACGATATTTTGATCAGACCAATAGATGAAGAAGAAATCTTATTTGCTATTAAGAATATAGAAATTCAAAGGCACCCGGCCTGCACGATATTGAAAATGAATATATCAAATCCATCAAACGTTTTAATTTGATATTGGATGATGATTTAATACCAGAGTCTTGGACCTTAGGGGACATTCAACCTGTATACAAAAAAAAAGGTGATCCAGACTCGTATCGAGCCATTACCCTAATATCAAATCTCGGCAAACTGTTCACATCTGACCTGAATACGAGATTAACAAAATTTGCCGATTACATGGAACTTATATCAAAATCACAAGCTGGATTTAGGTAGGGCTTTAAAAAGCAAAACAATGAAAAAGTTATAAATACACATAAACCCAACGACACGAAAATAGCAAAATATTGATAAATTTTGAATGCTTTATGTCCATTGGCAAATATTTCATGCATGTTCAGAAACACATCACAATAAATCATAAAGTTAGGTGGACCGGAATAAAGAACAGGAAGGTCGACTTCCATTGAAATAAGTTAAGGTATGGGGAAATTAGGCTGAAATTTTGCCCTACAACAGATTATATATGAACAAGGGTTCTCTAACGTAATATTTTCCAGATAGGGATCCGGATTCCGACCAAATGCGGTTACGTATTTATAAATAATTCCAAATACACGCAACGGATGCTCCTCTTTATAGTGGGTTTAACTGCTTGAAACTTTAGTTCCACACACCAGTCAAACGTTGGAGAATACAAAAGATCTAAAGTTCAACACATGTGTTCAATTATAGTCATGTCGGGGATTTTTATATCTTTTTTTATACTGTCTTCATATTCAGTTGCGTTTGTGAAGATTCAAGTTTTACTATAAAAGGGCAACATTATTAACAGTAAAAACACCAACAAACATGTATAACTTCTGTAATATAGGTCCGATTAAATCTAACTGTTCTTTATATATAGGTGATAATTTTCCCAAATAGGCATTTTCACGTTTTTGGATCTACAAAGAATATATACTGATTTTTCAATGGAATTTACTTTAAAAACTAGAAGAACAACCAGAGGTCCGCAATTAGATTTTGTAACCTTCACATATTATTTTTTCGTTAAGATTTTTTGAATCTCCCCTTTTTTCCCCTCTCGTCGTCTAAATATGATTTAGTAGAACGAAAGTTTTATACTGGTACTATTAACAATAAAATAACTGTATTGTATTGTATTGTATTTTCGTTTAAATGAATATTGTAAAAGAAAGATGTCACTGTAATAAAAGAACATACAAGATCAACTACTTAATTCATGTGTAGGTCTTATAGCCGTTTTACAGGTTGGAATTTAATTCTTACAAACGCAGCTGTATGTCAAAATTATTTGCCTAGCACTAGACTAGGCCTTTAAATATCTTTGAAAAAATTCGAAAAAAAAAGAATTACCATACAATAATAGAATAATAAGGTAGCAGAGGCAAATTTTAAAAGGGGGGGGGGACTGGGGTTTCCCTTAAAGTAAAAAACAAATGGTTGACTAAATAGGGAATCATTGAGGAATGACTGGAGCGTCCCCCTTTCATGACAGTCAATGCCCCCCTCCCCCTTATAAAATTTCTGAATCTTGCTATTTTGTAAATGTCATTTTTGGTTATATGGGTTTTTAAAAAAAATGTCGCATTTTCAGTATACTCCTATGCTAAACAAAATTAAAGGAAAATGCAGTTGTGAGTGTTTAAATGAAAGTGTGTGGGCTTCATTATTAGGAACTTCAATAATAAACACTATTTATATCTATTTTGATAAGATTAAAATATGTTTAAGTCAAATGTTTGCGTAATTTACGTCCTTACAGTGTCAGGGTAACACATTTCAAATTTTTTTTTTCCCAATTTTTTTTTATTGCTTTGCTATCTGCAAAGAGAATTATTTTATAATGTTGATAATAACTCCAATGAAAAATCACAGCTTCTTTGTAATTCTGTGTAACATTTTTTCTACAAACTAAATTCAATTGGCGTACATGAAGTGCATGTCTTTCTTGTTACCTCTACTAAATCAACCGTTGAATTGTTTCCCCCTATGAATATAGAAACTATTCACTGCTGATTTCAAAAGAACACTGCAGGCGGGCGGGCGGTCATCCTAAAAATTTAACACAGAATGTTTCTTGCATAACAGTGAAGAGAAAATTCAAGACATTTAGCGAACAAAAATAGTGGTAACCCTTTAGTCAAGTCTATACTGTTACCAACGTATTTATTTATAATAGCCCAATATCACAACAGAAAAAACATTATCACTTCATCAACGGAGTATTTATTTCACAACAGCATTGTTCATAAATGAAGAAATTTGTCTATTATGTTATGTCCATCCTGTTACTATAGTTTACTTACTATAGTTACAGTAACATGATTAACAATATTCGACAGAAACGTCTTTAGAAAGTTTATGATAACATACAGTAGCACACATAATGAAATGTTTGGTTGTTTGAACTCATTAATGCAATACTGCTACCAGAAACAGGATAGACAAAAGGGGTAACAGTATATAACTTCATATAAAATTGAGAATGGAAATGGGGAATGTGTCAAAGAGACAACAACCCGACCATAGAACAGACAACAGCAGAAGGTCACCAACAGGTCTTCAATGCAGCGAGACATTCCCGCACCCGGAGGCGTCCTTCAGCTGGCCCCTAAACAAATATATATACTAGTTCAGTGATAATGAACGCCATACTAAACTCCAAATTGTACACAAGAAACTAAAATCAAAAATAATACAAGACTAACAAAGGCTAGAGGCTCCTGACTTGGGACAGGCGCAAAAATGCGGCGGGGTTAAACATGTTTATGAGATCTCAACCCTCCCCCTATACCTCTATATATAACTATATATGGTTATATATTGTTAACGAACGTTCCTGTTACCAACAAAAGAAAGACAAAAGTAAAGCAACATGCATGTGAGGAAATAACTTGATGTTGGATTTGTTAGAAAGAGAAAACAAATGCTGAACGTTAACATGATGAATTACTATCTTAGACTTGCGTTGCTTGTGGTTATTTTTATAACCTTTGAAAACCAATTTTTAAAGGTATTTTCCAGTTCAACATGGAAAATTGACAAATAATCTATCAGTATACAGAAAGAAATATATAGAAGTGTTTGCTCTTGAAACCCATCTTATTGCCTATTAAAACAAGCTTAAAAAAATTTCGAAAACTTTTCTTAATAACTCGAGATTTCTTTTCAACATGGTAACATGAGAGACAAATATTGCACCATTATCAAAATTGTTTTCAATATATTCTTGTATGACATTATCAAGATTGCATCTTTTTATATGTTGTTCCATATATAGGTACTGTTAGTTTCGATTTGCATATGAAGAGGGTTATTTGAATTAGTAACTAAATGTTTGATTCAGATTTGCAATTTCAAATTTTGACATTTTTTGAAAATGACCCATATTGCTCCTAACGTTTCAGCGTATTTATACATCCCTGGCTTTCAAATGGATAGGTTTGAGTGTTCCTGATAAAGGTCAATCCCAAAAAGCGCTTCAGGTGCATATAATCTATAATCTTTTAAGGATGTTCGCTTCTCTGTTTCAAAATAACAAGCTTTTTAAAAGACTTATAAATTGATTGTATATAAATATAGGAACTAAAAAAACAGACAAAAATTAAAGGTCCATGTGCTTGTTTTCGAGATATAAGCCATGGAAAATTTGGCGGGAAATGATTCTCTCTAGACTTTTCATACATTTAACATTGACACCTTTTTTCTTTCAAAACTATGAAAAAATAACAAGGATTTTATAAGATTTTCAAATATGGCTTTTTTACTTATATGTAATTATATTATGAAAAGAAAAGTTAGGGTTAGTGGGTAAAATTTTTCAATGGCATTAAATGGATAAAACCAGAGGCTTTCGAATATCTGGCAAAAATTTAAAAACAAGAGGCGCGAACATCCTTAAGTGGTTATTTCAGATTATCTTGTCATTGAAAAGAAACTGGTATTGTTTTCTGCTCTTGGCATTAGATAGACTTGAATAATCAGTAATTCAATACCTATTAACAATAGTGTATGTCATTTTACATTTATATTGAATTTTTAAATGTCCTATTAACGATCAATAAGCCTTATCAAAGTATTAAAACAACATTTATGATGGGATTAATTTGGATTAAGTACATTAGTGATACGTATATAAGATTTCGGCATGTATATAGTTACATTAAGTAACATTTCGCTTTACAGGTAATAGTAGAAAGTGTTCTGAAGGATATAATTTTAAAAATTCCGATTTCAAAAGGTCAAGCGGGATCTGATTTGAACATCTGAAATTGAGTCCGAAAAACCTGGAATTGAAGAGCAGCATTGCTATAATATAGACCAGCAATTAAATGGAATCATAGTGATACTTTATATTATCGACAATCGATCTGGACAGTATTTGAAAAAAAGTAAATTTAAACTATTGTCATAAACTGGATGTAATAAACAACTGGTCGAAAAATAAAATGTTAATTTGTTAAATGTTAAAACATTTTGTTAATGATCGACGATATTTAACATGACGATTGTGCACATTAACGTCGGTGGGACACTGTTTCAGACGAAATTATCTTCTCTTCAAAGATTTCCTGAAACTTTGTTAGGATCTATAACAACAACATCAGAATTTTACGATGAAGAAAATAAATACTTTTACTTTGATAGAAATCCAGAACTTTTTAATACGGTATTGGACTATTATAGAAATGGTGTTATCCATCTCCCAACACATTTGTGCGGATGGTTATGGAAGTCTGAATTGGAGTTTTGGAGAATTTCTTTAACAAATATTTCGGAATGTTGTTTCCAAACTTACATCAAATATGAAGAGAAAGAAGCTACAGCTGCAAAGTTAAGAGAAATATTTGCGACAAAGCCATTAGCAATGACATACTTACTTACTCCAATAAATAAAATTCGACACAAAGTATGGATGTTAATCGACGAACCTACTTCATCTAGATATGCTAGAGTAAGTAAATGTTAAGGTTGTAATGAGCCTGGCACAAAGTGTATCGCTCACCCTCAGCCTTGCCGAATGTCGACATTGGCCACTTATAACTATATAGAATCTATTCAATATCAATATGTATAGCAGGACTTAACCTGGCTTTTTCCAGAATTTTGCAAATTTTCGTTAATTTCTAAGAAGTCGTCCGTATCGGTTACCTTAAAATTGAACATAATTACATGTATGTGTTTGTTAGGACTTTTGAAAGGAGTGGTCTTCAATTCTGTAGGTTGCTTACATGAAAAGAGAATAGAAAACGTAAATAAATCATTATCCCTTCCTAAAGCCTGATTATTTAGTTTCCGAGATATTTTACAGGGCTCATTAGATCTCTTAGTTTTCGATGCAGCAATAAATTTGTATGTACCCGCTGCTTTGTTTGCACCTAATATCCTAGGTCAGGAACCTGTTGTTCAGTTGTTTGTCGTTTGTTGGTGTGGTTCATAAATGTTTCTCGTTTCTCGTTTTTCACATATATAGATAAGATCGTTGGTTTTCCTGTTTGAAGTGTTTTACATTATTCATACAATAACCAAACAATAGTATAATTATAGTAGTTTTAAATCATAATCCATTTCAGATTCGAATCAGATATTGTTTGATTTTATTCTTCTTTTAAGGGAGCTACCATTTGATATTATGAGGGGGGGGAGGCTAGGATGAAATTTGAAAAAAGGCAGGACAGGAGTATTGAGTAAAAAAAAGGCAGGATGAGCAACTTTGCAAAAAAAGGCAGGATGACAATTTCTGTAAAGAAAAATCTATAAACTTATAAAAAAAAAAGGCAGGACCGAATAGAGTGAAAACTAAAAAGGTAGGACAGTGTTAGAACTAAAACAATAGGCAGGACAAAATTTTTCATCCTAGCCCCCTAAAAATCAAATGGTAGCTCTCTTAGAAAAAAAAAACAACTAGTATAGACATGTGTTAATTTTTGTAGGTGTTCAGCATCATATACCTTGTAATAGTTATTGTGTCAGCAACTATACCATGCCTGGAAACACACCCAAACCTCCGAATACATCTTTACAATGATACGTCGATTTACTGGTTTTTCCTATTCACTCCTGACACATGGGTCAATACCGATAATCCGAAAGAAATCATGTTTACCACTACGCTTGAACCGAGTTGGCTTTTCGAATTAAACGTGTTTATTATTGTTTTCTTCACATTAGAATCTTTAGTACGGTTTATAACGTGTCCATCGAAAAGCAGATTTTTCTTGGAATGGTTGAACATTCTAGATACGTTTTTAAACATAACAATGTGGTCACGCTTTATGGTAGATATGTTTGCGAACGTTGATGCTGTACTTGAGAAAAAATTTGAAAGTTTGATGTACTTTTACAGTTTTTGTTCCGCTGCCTCTGTATTGCGCTTACTTAAGTTTTTTAGAGTTGCAAAACAGTACAACAGTTTGCGAGTATTATTTTTGGCAGTGAAAGCAAGTGTCAAGGAATTGGGTCTACTTCTGCTGACGTTTCTAATAGTTGCATGGGTATTTTCAAATTTGATTTACTACGCTGAAATCAAAGAACCGGATACTTTTCCAAATATGTTGGATGGATTATGGTGGGCAGTGGTTACCATGACTACCGTAGGGTACGGTGATATGTATCCAACAGGGGCTTTGGGTCGTTTCGTTGGGGCGATGTGTGCAATGTGTGGATTACTAGTTATAGCTATGCCGATAGCAGTCATTGCTGGAAATTTTGATGATCTGTACAAGAAAAACAATGAACGAGAAAGTTATAACGAGATTCAAAAAGAGAAGGACACAGAAAGAAAACTATCTATTAATTCAATCACTTTTAAAGATAACAAAATAGTTCCGTCCCAGAAGTCAAAAGTGGATAGTTATAATAAAACATTTCCGTCCATAGAAAAGTGAGGAATGAACATGTGCATAATTTGTTTTATATACGCTGATGGCGGATATTTGGTGCCTTTTTTTTAATTATTTCAGGTGACTTGAATGCATCAAGAATCAAAGTGTAGTGTTGGGAGGTAAACGACTATATTGTATTAAAGCGTATTTATAAATTGCAGGATAAAATCAATCTTTTTATTTTCGACACGAATCAGGAGGAAAGATTAGCGAGCCGCGTACGCGTTTTTCTTTCCCTTTTTTAGCACGTTGAAAATAAATTTGAAATTTTCAAATGTACGAATATGGTATGTATAATTGTTTCTAAACTGCAGGATAAAAACAGTATTCGAACATTGTGGGAGCATTTTTAATCTATTAGTACGTGCTACGAACAGTTTTTAAGGATGTTCGCGCCTCTTGTTTTCGAATTTTTGCCAGATATTCGGATTCCTCTGGTTTTATCCATGTAGTGCCATCAAAAAATTCCCCGCTAACCCCTACTTTTTTCATAACTTTATTACATTTAGTATAAAAAGCCATATTTGAAAATCATAACAAATATTTGTTTATTTCTTCATATGTTTTGAAAGAAAAAGGGTGCCAATGGTAAATGAATGAAAGTCTAGAGAGAATTATTTCCCGCAAAATTTTCAATTGCTTATATCTCGAAAACAAGCACACGGACCATTCATTTTTTTCTGCTTTTTTATTTCTTTTATTTATATGCTATCAGTTTATACCAGTCTTTTAAAAAGCTTGTTATTTTGAAACAGAGTAGCGACCATTCTTAAAGATCGTAATTTTTTTTGGGGTAATATTTCCCTACAATGTACGCATACTGTTTCTACAATTTCTTGTACCTAAATTTATTGACTTACTCAATATTGAGCGAAAATATTCTAGTAGTCTATTTATATTATAGTGATTAAGGTGGTACATAACACTACGGGTAGAGAACTCTGTAAAAATCAGCTGAACGTTTTAATCACGTACTATTGTTCAGGAAATATTAAGCTTCTCAATGATTAAAATTAGTGTTTGTCAAACTGCTATATATCCAATGAAATTTTTCAGATAAAGTGTGTGGTTCAAGTTTTTTGAATTTTTTATATTTTTGTCAAAAGGTCAAAGTAAATATTTTGTCAAAATTTTATATAAATTAAACGAGCCAAATTAATTTTAGTCAAAGTGTTTGGTACCACCTTAAACCTTTTATTAGTTTATGCCTATCGATATACGATTAATACTCATCAAACCTGTTTTAATTTTTTGAGTATTTTAACATCAGTCAATATTTTGAGTTGGTATTTATCATAATGCAAATATCATTTAATTTTCAATTTTTGATCATTAATATCTTTAAATGTTGTAACTTTTTCTCATTGAGCAGTTGTCATTATTTTTATGCCCACGTCACTTGTCTCAGAATTGAGTTTTTACCTATATGCCGTTTATTGCTATTTTGTGTGTTTTTTCTTTGATCTTTTTTTGTGATAATTTTTCGTTTCACGCTTCTCACTTGAAATAGAAAATTATCGTCAGAAACTTATAAGAGCGCATTTGACATTATCAATGTAAACATCAAAGACGTCATAGACACAATAGCGACAAGAAGATCATCAATGGTCTTTCAAACTCTAGTATGATTTTCAGCCACATCTCATCTCATGGCTGTCTCCCTTTGGTGAGAATGTTAATGAGAAACACCCTCACGTTTGAAAAAAAACACATCGATAATCTATCTTTAAAAATTATGTAAAAGTAGACAGAGGAACAAAATTCTGAGATAAGTACCAGTGTTTTATCTTACCATAAGTCTGTGGACTTTTATGGACCTGATGCTATCGATTAAGGCGGGGAGGGGGTGGGGGGGGGGAAGAAATGGCTAAACATGTCCAAGATTTACATCGTTATTGATGATTCTTGTTCTATTTCAAACACAATTGTTTTTATAAACCTGAGAGCTGCGGAGTAGGAAACGTGCAAACAATTGCATGTATAACATGGATATAGTCTCTCATGGGGCGAGGGTCCCTTTGAAGTGAGTGTAAAACAATAAGATATGTAAGCCAAAGATGTGGATGGAAAGTAACAATTCAAACACAAGTACAACATAAAAGAGTTTTAAAGTGGTCTGTAGTTTTTTTATAGGCCCTTCGCCATCTTTGTGAACATTCCAAACAATATCCTGACTCGCATGTAGTTTCTACTTCCTCTGGAAACTCCGGGCTCTAGATCAATTATAAAGATCCAGATCCCCTTTATTTTTCCTAAAACAGATTGTATGCTGATTATGCAAATTTAATGGCAATGACCATGCAATTGATCGAAATCTTTGAAATGTTCTTTGGTGGACTACATGGGATTTCTATAAAAAGCAGGGGACCGTGGGACTAATGAGCTGTCGGACTAATGGGCTGTCAGAATAAAGGAGTTTATCCGGGTTATATAGGTCTATTATGAACATCTACACTGATATACATATCAGTCTGTCTTATTTACACCAGAATCTGTCATATTTGGCGTGCAGCAACCTTGTAAAAAATTATATTTATTAAGCAAAAATTCCGAACTCAAAGGAAAATTCAAAAAGGAAAGTCCCTTATCAAATGCCAAAATCAAAAGCTCAAACACATCAAACGAACGGAAAACAACTGTCATATTCCTGACTTGGTATAGGCATTTCCTAATGTCGAAAATGGTGGATTAAACCTGGTTTTATAACTAGTCGTCATAAGCAACATCCGCGAGTCATCATAGCTATACTACAATAATCAATATCAGGCAGTATTGTAAAAGTTAATTATTTTTTCCATAATTGAAAAATTCATGTTTCATTCCATTACAAAAATGGACAGAATAATCTAATACCATAAGGTTGAATTCGATAAAATAAATAAAGTGATTTAATTTAAGATTTTGTTAGGATAAGTTAAAGCTTTCGAAATTTTATAATCCTCAATAACTATTTAAATAAACCTTTTAAATAAACATTATATTGATATCGCTTAATTATGTTACAATACATAAGGTTAAACGTAACACTATCGTTTAATTCTGTAACAAAAATATAAGGTCAATAAAGCGGACAAGTACCTTGTTTTCGTGGAACCTACAAGTCTGAATATTGAACCGAATCAATCTTGGCGATGAATTGATTGTTTGTTTTACGTCTAATGGCAACATAAATCATCCATAGCTAAGACAGAACAAATTCAGAAACATAATTACCCAGTAAGTCGGCTCTGCATCGTATATAATCCGGATGAAGGGTAGGGGAGTTGGCCTGTCACTGAAAATCGTGACATATAGGATTATTGCAATAATTTGACTTGCAAAATGTTAACTATGGAAGAATCCTCCGAATAACATTCCATTTGGAAGATGACGTGGCCGTGTATTTAAACATCATGCACAATAATTTCACATGTCGTCACATGTAAAAATCGTCCTATTTAAATTTGCAAAACGTCCAAATTGTAGAAGTTGGTAAATCAAAGCTTGCATTTCTGATTTGTCATTATTATGCATGTTAAAAATACCCTTTAAAAAGAATTACGTCCTCTCTCTACATTACAAGTATATGAACCCCAATAAACACTTATATCCAGAGAGACAAAGTGTGCTTGTATTACAACATGCACTTTCAATCTCTAGGAATATTGATGTATATTCGACGTGATACGACTTAAATATATAATGTAGTTAAAAGTAATGGTGCACATTGGCATTATATGATTAAGATTCTGTGAAAGTTAAAACGCATTTTTATCTGGGATCAATAAGGAGTTTCGGATACACAATGGTTACTCCCTTTTACCACGATAAAGCAATTGCAAAGTCAATGAACAGATAAGGACAACGTCAAAAATGATAAGGATTAAAGCAATAAAGATGCACCACAGCGCTATATGGTGACGATTTTGTGAAAGGTTCATTTTCTAATTTCGAAATTAAAATTTAGAATCATGGTCAATTATGCACTTTACAAAGTAATATGTACTCCTACGTAACACGAGATCATTTAAGGTGGTACCTAACACTACAGGGAGATAACTCTGTAAAAATCAGCTAAACGTTTTAATTACGTTGTGTTGTTAAGGAAATATTAAGCTTCTCAATGATCAAAATTAGTGTTTGTCAAACTGCTATATAACCAATGAAATTTTTCTGATAAAGTGGTTGGTTCAAATTTTTTGAAATTTTTATATTTTTGTCAAAGGGTCAAAGTAAACATTTTGTCAAAATTTTATGAAAATTAAACGAGCCAAATTAATATTAGTCAAGGTGTTGGGTACCACCTTAAGTTAACTTTTACAAATACATTATTTTAAATCAATACTTTTGTGTATTTAGATTATACACAATAAGTACAGTAATCATGAACGGTGTGTTCACGTTTCTCCAACATTTGATGTTAATAATTTCTTGTTGGAGAAACGTGATTTTTTTGGCATAGTGATTAATAAAATTTACCTGTAAATGGACTTACAGTAAATCCAGCTCAAATTAACTTTTCAATAATCTGACGGATTGATAGCTGAAAAAAGAGAACATTGAAGAAAAAAAACATTTCACCAAAGAGCACCAATATAATAACGAAACTAGTTTTCAATGGCATAGAATTATCAACAATATTAGCACAGATCGACAAATACACTACATAATCTTGAAGTTCAAAATTGCAGTGAGGTGAAAGTTTTTTCTCTGCGTTGAAGGATTCACCATGATTTTGAGATGAAGTACAGCAATAAAAGCGCTGATCCTTTAAGTTTACTTTGTGTGTGTGTGTGTTTTTGTTTTTTTGTTGTTGCTGAAAATGTACTGATTTAGTGTCACGGATGGATACCCCATATCCTTTGTTTTTCTATGTCCACTGTACAATCATACCATACATCGACCATAGTTAATCTAGTATACATGTATGAGAAACATTTATTGAGTGCTATTGAAAAGCAGCTTCTCTTTGTAAAACGTCACCAGTGTCTGAGCAGAAAGTTGATTAACCAGGGTTATGTCAAAGGATGTCTCATCTTTTTTTCTTAAAAGTTTCAACAGAAGATATCAAGACCTTGTTGATAAATATTTAAAAAATAATACTTGATGGTCTTGAAGTATAGATTCTAGACACTGACATTGTTTATCATCTTAATAGCGTGTTATAGTGTTCTTTTATTTGTCTTTGAAATTTATTACTTTTACTGTTTAGTCTATTTTTGGTAATACCCATTTGACGTGACTCGGTACTTATAGATCCCATCATTGTGTTATTGTGCTATGGTAAAATTTTGTATTCTTGTCTTTCGTTTTTGCTTTGTGCTTTGTCTATATGCTTTTTTGATTTTCTTTGTTGACATATTTGTTTTTTGTTTTTATAGTGATAAAGATTATAACACAATGTTGACTGCTGTACCCTTATTTTTGACATTTTTACATATGTTTTTTTTAGTTTTATTCACACATTGTTGTCAATATAATGGAATTTTATACAACTGTCATACAAGTGAGAGATTTAGCTAGCTATAAAACCAGGTTTAAACCACCATTTTCTACATGAGAAATTGCCTGTCCCAAGTCAGGAATCTGACAGTTGTTATCCAGTCGTTTGGTGTGTTTGCCCTTTTGATTTTACCATTTGATTAGCGACTTTCTGTTTTGAATTTTTCTCGGATTCGGTATTTTTGTTATTTTACTTTTCTCTCCAAGTACTCTGGCTTCCTCCACCCAAAAAAGCTGAACGCCACGAAATAGCACTATAGAGTTAAAAGTGGTGTTAACCTGCAATCAATAAGATATGTTTAGCATGTCACATTCAAACTCAGGCATTACGTGTACCAGCTCAATGAGATCTGCTCATTTGAAATCTTCACCAAGCTGAAATGGGTGATCCACCGCATAAATTAAAAAGACAAAGTCCGAATAAATATGCGGAACGAAAATGTTATTTTCTAAATAACTTTATTTTAACTCCAAAATTGTTTCTTCTTCTTCTGTAAATATATTTAATAGCTGTAATTATAGCTATTAAATATGCTTGCCGGAAAACACTTTTTTTATTTTAGATTATAATCGGAAGTTGAACAGTACTAGGAGAAGTTTTTATTTATTTTTAATTTTTTCTGAATTTGTTTATTGTTTTACATTTGTTACTAAAAAGTATAATATGAAAATTATATAATACATTGTATACGGGTCTCGCTATAACTTCCTAAAAACAATAATTTGAATTGCTATATAAACACCAAGTCCATCTGTTGTTTAACAGGGCGATATCTTTTTGCGCCAAAAATGAACTCATAACGTGATTTGGATTTTTCAAATGATGGAGAACCGTGAAATAATGAATTATGAAACTTGTATATTTTATAATTTACATCGATGGAACTTTATGTGAAACAATAAAATGTTGAAAAAGATATTAACAATGTCCCCCGCGTTGCACATATTTTATATTTCCAAGGAGCATAACTCTTTTAAAAACGTCGATCGTCCACCATTATAAAACTTGTCAGCGATATTGCTGATATTAACCTGTAGTATATGTTTTATAAAAAATCTGGCAAGAATTGTTCCCGTGAGAGCGCTAACGAGGCCATTTCCATAAATTTAATATGTCCACGGGCCATATTAAAACAAAAAGTTGACCCTCCAACATTATAGAACTTGTCCAAGATATTGCTGATATTAACCTATAGTATATTAAGTTTTAAAAAATCTGGTTAGAATTGTACATGTGAGAGCGCTAACGAGGCCATTTTCAATAAATTTAATATTTCCAAGGGGCATAACTCTTTTAAAAAAGTCGATCGTCCCCATTATAGAAATTGTCCGAGATATTGCTGATATTAACCTATAGTATAAATTTTATAAAAAATCTGGCAAGAATTGTACCTGTGAGAGCGCTAACAAGACCGGACGGACGGACGGACGCCCGGTATTTCCATGTCCCCCCGCAACGCGTTACGCGGGGGACAAAAAATATACCAAATTTAATGCAACCTTTATGATGAATCAACCAGCATAGAAAACACTTGTACTCTTAAAAGTACGAAATTTAATTTAGATTTCGTACGACAGAATTGAACTCGTACTAATTTACCACGATACTCATACCTAAGTGAAGTGATCCTTGTCAGACAGACATACAAGGGGATTTTTTCGTGTCTTGTATAAATACCCAATATCCCTGCATTTCCATAACATTGACAGGGTTGTTTCTAGTGGTTTGTAAAAAACGTACAAGATTTATTTGAATTTGGAATGTAATCTCTCATATTGTTACAGACTATTCTGAAAGATATTATAATATACTTTACTTTTCTCTATCAATCTATGTTTATCGAATTTGTTACTGTTCAGATATATATTTCTGTTGCTGTCAAGTAATTCAACAACTACCTTCATCTGCGCTTTGGTAGTGTACGTGGGAGTTTTGTTTCTGTATATTTACTTGCAAAGAAATCCGATCACATAGGCGCGTTAAATGTACCCGCAGGTGTTTTCGGAAGCGTTATTGAGGTGTTTTGCTTAAGTTCATGACCTCATTGTGACGGAGGGATAAATGACAGCAGTACAAGTGTCATCCCTTGACTTTTGTGTTTAGTTCTTGTGCGTAGTGATTTGGTGCCATGCAATTATACACCATATCTATCCCCTTTATTTCCATATGAATTTGAATTTAGAAAAACTAATATTGTATCATTGAAAAATTAAAACAACGATACATGTAGATTTTTATTTTTATTACACCCAACCAATAATGTCCGTAATTATTACAACCCATACAAAAACATATACCAGACAATTATAGACTTATATACATGTATCAGCATTGTCTCTTATGGTTCTATCCTCGTTTAATAATTGGAATCCTAACTTTCAATTTGTAGTATAGATAAACTCGATTTTTAACCTTCTAACACGTCCAGAAGATTAAAGACAGAAACAAATCTAAAAACGAGCATACTCTCTTCTGTTACAATTTTAACTGCGAACAAACGTATGCACAAACAAAATTCAAATTATTGATGAATTGGTAATGCCAAGCAGCAAACGATGCCTGAAATTTCAGTAAGATAACAATTTTATGTCGTGAACCTATGATTCTTTCTTTTACTATATAAGGAAACAGTTCGTTTCAACTGGTATTTGCAATTTCACCTAAATGCTATTACCAAGGATTTGAAATCACTGGTTCGACCAGACAGAAAATCTAACCATAGAGTTCCGCACTCAAAGCAAGTACACTTCCAGACCACCGATGCGGTTGTAAAAAAGTTTTTTGCATATCCAACAGGTCCAAATCATCGATCAATGGGCATTTTCGAATCATCTGTTTTTTCACCGGGTATTATTTCTTCTAACTACCCAACGACTGATGAAAACATCGTTATAAATATGAGACTAATGCAGTATGATTGAGAATGAGACTGACGACTGTCCACAATAGACGAAATGATATAGAAGGTAACAATAATTACAATTCCCATGGCAGGGATGGCATTAAACATGTTTGTGGATGACCAACCCTCCGCCTAATCTGGACATCATCAGATTCTTATTCCTGTTGGTTTAAGAATATGGCAAATTAGTTGAGGTTTACTATATTTGGTACGAGATATATTTTTATAGTACAGACGATGATACATTCTTTGACTGACATATTGTTTGATTTTTTGAATGGTGAAAAAATCTTTTGTCAACGATTTCTTATAAAGCCAAGTACAAATAAAAAAACAACGTGCATGTGGTTGTCTAATACACATTTTCTTACATTTGTGAAAAATGGAAATTCATACAACAGTATAACGAGAAGAGGAGAAAGATCATGGCATATTGAATCTCATTTCAGAGAAGTTCAGTCAGGAGTTCCACAGGGTTCCATACTAGGACCTTCACTTTTTATAATATTTATCAATGATTTATTTCTTGTGAATGCTTCAAATACTAATATTGACAAATTATAAAAGTTACAAAAGAGGGCACCAGGGGTCATTTTGAATGCAGGTTTTGATACCTCTTCATTAGTTATGTTTAAAAAGTTAGGATGGCTTTCCATTTATAATGATTAAATATTTCATGTCAATGATGGTATATACGTGTGTGAAAAATCTAGCACCTGATTATTTATCTGAACATTTTTTAAGTTGCTTAGTTGTTAAAAAATACGCATTAGGATCATCTTTCCAAAATAATACATTTGTTCAACGATATGAAACTAATTATGGTATAAGTACATTTATGTATTCTGGAACCTTGTCGTGGAATTCCTTGCCTTTGACTTTGAAAGAAAGTAAAAGTATATATATTTTTTTTTAACCAAAATGTCAAGCTTATCTCTTGAAAATACAAGAAAAGAACTTTTTGCCGTTATAATGTAACAATTCAACTATAAAAAAATACTTTTGTATTTAAGTAAATGGCAATTGTCTACCTGTACTATATATGTGCTTTTGTTTATGTATTATAGTCTTTTAAAAATTGTGTATTCTTATTTAGATTAAAAGGCTACGGGGCGGATTAACTGTTTTGTTAACTGTGTAACCTTCTGTAAGTAAAGAATTTATTATTATTATTATTATTATTATTGTGTTCTTCGATTTCTGAAGAGATGTACAAAATTATATAAGAGGATGGATTCGACAAACTAAACCACTTATGCATTTTCAAGAAATGAATATAATCACATCAGCCTTGCTTCACACAATTCAAATAATTCACAATGAAATAATAACAAATGTATGCACAGAATGAAAGAACATGATTTGCTGAACAACATATATACAGTAGACATACGGAATAATAAGTTAAAGTATATGATCCTATTTAAAATTTGATTTTTTTCTATATAAATAATACGCCTAACCATCAATCTTTACTCTTTTATTATTTTTTTAATTCAATCAACGGAAACTATATCGACCTTTCATAAGACATTTTACTTTCTAGATGGTTACATTATTCGAATAACCTCAAACTGGATATTTGTATGGCATCTATTCATTTGTTTATTCCAAATTATTGATTATTTATTAGCTGGGTTAATGCTTGAAGTATTGCATGCGGTTTTTGATGTGTTCGATTTATGGCTCATTTGCACATTAGCGTAAGCCTCCCGTTCTTCATTTTGCCTACATAGGTTATCAAAATTACTCGCAATGATTGCTATTGGCATAGCTAGAACTAATAATCCGCACAAACTACACAAAACTCCAACTACCCTTCCTAATGGACCAACAGGATAAACATCTCCATAACCGACAGTCGTCATGGTTACAACTGACCACCAAAAGCCGACTAACATATTTGGGAACGATTCTGGTTCTCTTATTTCTGTGTAATATATCAAGTTTGCAAACATCCAACCAAAGACAATAAATGTGATCAGAAGCAACAACAGCTCTTTTACACTGTCTTTTATAGTTATAAACAATATCCGTAGGCTACTGTACTGTTTTGCCAGTCGAAAAAATCTAAAGAGACGCAACACCGATACTGCTTCACAAAAGCAAAGGAAGTAAGCCAAACGTATGTTAGTTATTAAGTCATTCCTGTAGTTTTGTATAACTCCATATCGTATCCACATAATGACGAACAAGTAAATATCCAAAATATTGAGCCATTCTTTCAAAAACCGTTTCCTGAATGGACATGTTAAAAAGCGAAATACTGTCTCTACTGAAAAGAAGACATTAACTGCTAGATTCGTTCTATACAGCCAAATAGGCTGTTCACTAGTTGCCAAATGCATCTCTTTTGGATTATCTTTGTTCATCCAAAATTTTAAGTTTATATACTCAGCCTTCTTCAAAAATGCATCGGTATTTGTGTGTTCTATTCGAATTCCCGGATGTGTTATCAAGCATGGTAAACTTGCAGAAATTAAAACTATGCTTAAATATACGAAACTGAAAACCTAAAAGAAAATACAAAAAAACATTGAAATACAACTATTCACATACACATTGTGTGCTTTTTTTGCAGAAAATAAAATTATCATGCATTTATAAACAAGATGTGGTATGATTGCCAAAGAGACATATATTTTTTATTATCTAGCAATGTCCTCTTTCAAATCCAGGAATCGTTTAAGTCAAACGCGGAACAAGATCAGACCTACAAATCAGATCTCACTCGAAACGTTGAAATTTGAGTTTATAAACAAATATTATTTCTTTTGCATGCCTTAAACTTTTGTTTTCTTAATCATCTATTATTTTAAACTTTTATAAGCGTAAACATAAATAAACATGTCAAAGTCGAAGTCAAAGTCGAATATAATTTTAATGTAATTTGCTAATTTTAGAGCGATTCTGAGTCTCATATAGCATGTTACTTTCTCTTCGCATGCAGATAAACTGAAATATATAATTTAATAAAATATTACTGTATAATATTTACTAAGTATCCCCAAAAATGGTCAGACAACTCAGCCTGAAAACATAATGTTTTGTCGCATGAAGCAAGAACCCTATGTAGAGCTTGATGCATTGCAATCATAGTAGTCCATTTGCAATTTTAGTTTAGTTCAGTTTTGCATCAGAGACGTTCCAATCTGTACAATATTCAAAAGTTTTAATGTTTTCTGACTAGGTGGAAGAATTACCAAGTCTTACATTATGACAATTATATTTGTTTTAAATGTGATTGATTTGCTGTCTGATTGAGGTAATTCCGACATCTCTTTAAATGAAAAAAACTACCAAAAGTATAACGTAAACATATATTTTAAAAGTAAATATAATTGTGAATGGAAACTGGGAATTTGTCAACGATACAAAATCCCGATAAAAGAGAAAAAAAAAAAAACCCAGCCCAATTAAGGCCACCAAAGGGTCTTCAACGCAGCGATAAAATTCTACACCCGGAGGCGGGCTTCAGTTGAACCCTTAACATTAATGTATACTAGTTCAGCGAAATGGACGCCACACTAAACTTCGAAACATATAAATGAACTAAAATAAAAAAAAAAAAACACACACACACAAGACTAACAAAGGCTAGATGTTCCTGACTTGGGACAGTCTCATAAATGCAGCGGATTGTAACATGTTTTGTGAGATCTCGACCCGTCACGTTTCCCTATGGTGGAATGAACAAACACACAGCAATACACATAGTAAAACTCTGTTCAAAAGAAGTCAGATTCCGATGTTAAAAAAGTTATCAGAAGAAACTTAGCAAACTGACAATGATTAAAGGACTATCGGCAGTTAATGACATGCCAGCTCCAGACCTCAATTAAACTGAATTTAAAAGATTATGTCTTCATCATACGAAGATCAAGCACAATCCCTCTAGTTAGGGTTTTGGAATCAAGCCCTCATAAATTATACGAGAATAAACCGTAACATGCCAACTTGTTTTTAAAATAAATGTGCTTATTTCCGATGCAAAGACCAGATGTGTGAATTAATATTAATTAAAAGCCCATCTTAAATGAATTTACAACAGTATCGAAACTATATCACCCTGATTGGTCTTTTTTTTAGGTGAGCTTTTGAGTTGATTGACTTTTTTATGTTTTGTCACCATAGAGAATGAGATTTGAAAAACGTAAAACATGTCTGCACGTTGATTTATATTAACGAAAGATGTGAGAGACTGTTGTGCATACCATTAGTCCGTCGTTCATATTTGTTTGATCTGAAATATCATGTAAGGAGCCGATTTTTATATAAATAAACTCACGGCGTTATTTATACATGTACTTCTGTGCTAAAAAACAACATATATCTTATTGAAAGTTTACAAAATAACTTACTCTGGCCCAAATGGACGAAGACGGTTCATCAAGGAACAGCCATAGTCTATGACAACATTTTCCTAAGACAGAGGTTGAAGTGCATTCCGATTGGTTCCGAGTAAAAAACACGGCTCTTAACATATTTGAAATATTCACCCTTTTCTTATATGATGACACTGTCTTATAACAACATTCGGAAATTTCAGTTAGAGGTATTTTCCAAAATTTCAGTTCAGTTTCCCATAACAATCCACAGAGATGATTCGGAAGATGAATGCAACCATTTCTGTAAAAGTCTAAAATTGTATTAAAAAGTTCTGGGTTCCTGTCAAAATAGAATGACTTATCCTCATTGACGTAGCAATCTGATTCAAAGGAAATTGATCCAAGAAGCGTGTTGGGATACTTTCGAAGGGTCGACATCTTTGCTCTAAATACTGTTCCACCAACGTTTATACAAATTTTGTCATCCATTGAGGCCTAAGAGAAAAAAAGGAAATCATTAGTGTTTTTTGTTTTACGCAATAACTTAACACAATTCACTATACATATGTAATGCATTTCATGTAATTCAGTCTACGCAATTGTACCCAAGTATCAAAGCGAATATGATGACCAGCGACATTCATCTCGTATTAACGAGATAACAGATTTGTATAGTCTTGCTCGAACACTACAACCATGTTAACCACATAGTTACATGTATGAAACGACATAATTTTCAGAAACGAAATTCCACGTCATTTGTTCTCTGGTGGAGAGTAGTCTCATTGCCAATCATACCACATCGTCTTTTTATATGAATCTTCAGTACCTATTAAACATGCATTTCAAAACTAAAATAGAATTTTACAATTACATGTTTATGTATCTGTAATCAATTACGTTGGTCAAACAGATAATTGTATTTGTATATTAAGCACCTCAAACTTCCATTTTAATTTAAAATTAATCAAATAAGGTGTCTTTCATTCGATGTCCATACATTTTGACTGTAGATGGTAGCACAGTACTACTGTTAGGACACCTTCCTTGATCATCCAAGTTTTGTAGTTTTCGAGTTCTAGCAGTAATGTCGTAAACCTATTTAGTCGTCAACAACGATTTGATCGATATATAGTTGGTGTCGTTTTGCCTTTTCAAACTAACGTCCAACCATACATGTGAAATAAGAAACATCTTATTAAACTACGGAAAAAGTTGGACAATAAGCAAACAAAGACGAATTGACAAGGATGACTACAGGTATTGCTACCAAAAATGCTACCCGTTCCAAATATGACGCTTTAAAAGGCTCACATATGAATCAATTCCAAACCAGAGTGTGCCCATAGTACACAGATGCCCCACTCACACTATCATTTTCTATGTTCATTGGACCGTGAAGTTGGGGTCCAAATTCTAATTTGGCATTACAATTAGAAAGATCATATCATAGGGAACATGTGTACTAAGTTTCAAGTTGGTTAGACTTCAACTTCATCAAAAACTACCTTGACCAAAAACTTTAACCCGAAGCGGGACAGACGGTCGGACGGACGAACGGACGCACAGACCGAAAAACATAATGCCTCATAGGTGTGGCATAACAATAGAAAACTAACGACAAGACATATGATAAGGCATTTTTAAAATAAGTTTTGACAGACAGTAACCAACAATAACCATGGGATAACAAGCTACTGCGTGGCTTAGGACAGGTACATGTAAATGCTCTTTTGTTCCGACGTTGGAAAGTTCCGGGCGGAAAGAACTAACTAGCCGCAAAGTTCCGGAGGAACTTATTAAGTAGTTACTTTGTTCTTCCTCTGGTTTAAAAGTTCCACCGGAACAAAGTGACTAGTTGAAAAGTTCCAACGGAACATATCAACTAGTTAGAAAGTTCCTTTTTGCCAAATTAGTCAAAACCGGAACTAACAAACTAGCCCAAAAGTTCCAACGGAACTTATCAACCAGTCACAAAGTTCCATTTGGAGAATTGATGCAAAGAACCAGATGAGGAGGGTGGTATTCTTCCCTCTGTTGAGGGTACTATGAATACTAAATTTGCATGATAATGCAACTTATTCCGTTTTATGTGAGCTATGAAATACAACTTAAATTTTGCATATTTGTCCCCAAAGAAACCCCTTTCAGTGCGTTGGGTATTCTTGTAAATTAATGATTTGCTCTTATATATACTGATACTCATTATTCACCCTCTTTCTACAAAAAGGACGAAATATGGTATATTCGGAACGATGTAACTAGTTGTTCTGTTCCGCCAGAACTATTCAACTAGCTACATTGTTCCGGGACTTTTTAACTAGCTACTTTTTTAATTCCGGAACTTTTCGACTGCACTCGGAATAAAACAACTAGTTGGAAAGTTCCATCGGAACGAAATAACTAGTTGAAAAGTTCCGCCGGAACAAAGTAACTGACGGAACATAGTGGCTGTTACATACACACATAATGTGGCGGGATAATACGCGATTGTGAGCGCTCAATCCTTAAAGTCTTGGACATTGGTGCACAACATAATATGAAAAATAACTTGAAAAGGGCTAGAAGACCCATGGTCGTGATATAAAGAGTAATTGTTACCACTCAGTAAATTGAAGGATTGTGATCGTGATCCATTCCTCTCTCAATAACATGTACTCAAATGTACATGAACTGAAATGTATAGTCATTATATGTTAACTTGTTCGTATGTCAAAACCAAGTAAAAATATAACCTACCTGTACACGTCCGGTTCAAAAGAATTGTCACATTTTTTTTTAATCTGTGAATTTATGCTTTCTAATCCATCCAGCTTTTATTATTGTTCTAATGGAATTCATTGATGATTATATCGAACGAAAAATACTAATGACATCTCAATTAATTTCTGAAATTGAAAATAATGACTTCAAAATAGCATTCCCTTTCAGAGTTTTCAAAGCTGTACAATCAGTTCTGGAATTATGTGTAATGACTCCAATGAAACACATGATTAAAAAACAAACAAAATGGATTCCAGGTATTACATTTCCTAATAGAAACGGTTTGATAATTATCGCATTTACTGTGTACTTAATCTTAATTATTTATTTGGTAAATATACAAATCAAATATTTTACCGATTTCCGCATAATTAATTCAGCGAGGGCAGACGAATGTTTACTAAAATCCAGTATACCTAAATCTTGAATTGCAATACTTGCGACAAGTTTTGAATAGGTCATCTACATCATAAAAGTTTTATCTATGATAAACTTGAAGGAATTTTAATTAAATTTACACAAATATCATTTTGACTGTATTCAAAATATGAAATTTGTAATAGATATTTTGAAGATCAGTTACAATTTTTATATAAACATGTTTTTAAGCAGCATGAAACTAGACATCATTGAGATGGGAGCGATCTCTGTGGGCCCGCTGTAAATAACGAGTGGTAAAAAAATTGTATGGATAAGCTGATATGAAGTTATTATATCGTCTCGGTATGTTCTGAGAGTGATTTTTCCATAGGACATTATATTGTCAACTGAAACCAATGTTTTTGACCTTAGACCTAGGAAGTTGTACATACATTATGACACACCCTCTGGTGTTGGTTAATATACATGTCAAGTATAAAGTATGAAATCATAACGGTTCTCAAGATATAGAGCAGACACCATTTGTTAGGGACGGACGGATCGACAGACGGACCTTTGACATAGGAAGTTGTACATACATTATGACACACTTTCTAGTGTTGGGTTAATATACATGTCAAGTATAAACTTTGAAATCATAACGGTTCTCAAGATATAGAGCGGACAGAATCTGTACCATTGGACATAGGGTTGTCAACTGAAACCAAAGTTTTTGACCTTGAACTTTGACCTAGGAAGTTGTAAAAACATTATGACACACCCTCTGGTGTTAGTTAATATACATGTCAAGTATAAAATATGAAGTTATAACGGTTTTCTATATATATAGCGGACAAAATTTGTAACGAACGGACGGACAAACTGATCACTATAGGGCCGGGGCCCCAATAAAAAGTTTACGACTCTTAACAGTAAACCATTACAATTATATGGTTTAATTGGTTCATGTTCTTAAAACTTTTACAATCGTTTGATATTCAGTATACCTGATAAACGCTGTACAACAAACAAACAAAAACAATATAAAAAAGTCATCTGACACAAAAAATCATTTTATAAACGTATTTAATATGAGATGAGGAAGATGTCTGTCCCATCAACGTATACCAACTACCTTCATTTACCCAAAAACGTATGCATCATGAGAAAATAAAAATACATGTAAAAAATAGAAGGGTATTGTGAATTTTTAAATGACATCCAACAATCAAATTCGGTTTGCCCTAATTTCAGTCCACCAATTACCAATTGCCTCTATACCTCAACCAAAGACAAACCAACCTCAAAATCTAATCAAAAGGAATATCTGTTTTCTCATTTACTACAACGAATTTAAAATCGATAAACAAAAACAATTGGGAGCTTTCTCATCCCATGCGAATTAATCGGACCAATTTCAGTAGTACCTACAGAAATACCCCTTCCCCCACCACAAATAGCAAATATTTCAGTCTATGAATAGCTACCGAGACCTTGATCATTAACATGTTGTCTTGAAAAAAATCAATCATGGTTTTTCTAATTTCATGGGCAATAATTGAACCAAATTTAACTGATATACGATTTGACAATTTTGTGAGTTCATGGTCAATGTATTTATGCATTGCCAATTGAGAGAAAAAAATTAACAGGGTTTATAATATTATAATAACATTTTTTAAAGACTGTTTTCTGATTTTTCAAGGATGTGATATGAAATATCCTTCATCTCCCCTTTTCCTGAATGTCCTCAAATACATTTACATTTTTTTTTATTTCCCCTCCCTTTGTTCAAAACATTTTAAGTTTTATGATATCTCTGTCTGGTAACCCGAGACTGCTGTTAACTTTGGCTTATCAATCTGGATATTTTGAATCTCACTTACCTGCTTTCTATTGTCAACAATAACTCGCTGGGAATTCAAACAATGTTCAGATATTTTAGCAAGTATTAATTTTTTATTCTAAAAATATCATCTCTCAACGGAAGCTTGTTCATGTGACAAAAGCAGCAAAATCTAATAAAAATATCATAGACGTACAGAAACAATCTGAGAAAAGAAAAGAAGATAATCTAAGTACAACTAACATTGTTAATTTTTGAATGAAGTAAGTTGTGTCATATATTATTTATTGTAATTGAACTAATAAGAAAGAAAACACTACACAAGGTTTTCCATACACTCGGCATCCTCTAATATCCCGTATTTCAGTTAAAATCATTTTTAATATCTATTTCTCTATACATCACATGAAATCATTTGAATATACATGTTGTGTGAATCTTTTTTGGTTTTTGGAATGTGAACGCAGCAGTGCACTACAGGTGTATTATTCAACCAGACGATCAGATGATTTCAGTATAT